GCGGGCAGGAGGAGTGACAGTTTACCCAGGGCCGGTTACTCCGAGGCCCTGCATCAGCCCCCGGAGAGGAAGGGCGCTCGGAGGACAGGGCGCTGTGGTCAGCCGGCACCCAGCTCCACAGCCCTGGCTGGCACCCAGCTCCTCAGCCCTGGCCGGCACCCAGCTCCTCAGCCCTGGCTGGCAGCTCCACAGCCCTGCCGGCACCCAGCTCCACGGCCCTGGCCGGCACCCAGCTCCACAGCCCTGGCCGGCAGCTCCACGGCCCTGGCCGGCACCCACCTCCACGGCCCTGGCCGGCACCCACCTCCACGGCCCTGGCGCGGCCGTGACCCCCTCCCGCCGGGCCCTGGGACCTGCCGCCTGGGAGCAGCTCCTCCGGAGCCCACCCATGGGTGACATTCAGCAGGTGGGGGCTGACCCCAGCTTCAGGCAGCAGACCCGGCTGTGAAGCAATGATCTCTCCAAGAGGATGGAGATATCACCCCCCTCGCTCCTCCCTCCTCCGCTCCGGCCCCTGGAAACAGGGGAAGAGGAGGGACGAGGCTGCACCGTATCCGGGGACAGCGCTCTGGCTGGGTGGCTGGGAGACAGGCCCTTAATCACCATCAGCCCAGTTGAAAAGCCTGCTTACACTCAATTTTCTGCCTAAACATCACGTTTTGTGGGACTAGTCTTCACTATAATTTGTGAGCCATAGGATCATAGTATTATAGAGGTCAGAGTCCCTTCAGAGATCATAAAGACAACTGAAGTTCAGAGACGTTTTTTATTCCAAGGGCGACACGAACATGAGCAAGACCCGGCCCCGGCCCCTCAGCAGCTCGGTTTGGGGACAGACCCGGGAGGCAGTCGGGGTGCGGCTGAGGAGGGGGACTCACTGGGCAGGGGGCTGGGAAGGTCCAGGGAGTCATGTTTGGCTCTCAGATCTGGAAGGCTGGGAGGGGCCACAGAGAGGGTGGGGTTTGGGGGACCAGGAGGGTGTGGTGTCTTGGATGGATCCCCAGGCTGGAAGGCAGGGGAAGCCCGAATAGAAAGAGGCAGCCGGCTGCACTGGGAATTGGAGAGCTGAGGGGCCGTCGGAGTTTCTAGGCCGCGGGATGGTTGGGGTGACAAGGCCCGGGGCACGTGGGGAAGGTGGGTTAGAGGGGAGTGAGCGGAGAAGGCGGAGGGGGAGGAGGTGTGGGCTGGGATGGTGATGGGTTTGGTGGGGACGTGTGGGGATGTCTGGGACCTACAGAGCCAGGACCCAGCACAGGCTTCTGGCCTCAGGCCAGGATCCTCCGGTCCAGCAGCCTCTGGAGCAGCTGGCACGTGAGGCTCACCGTGCCAGCCAGTGTCTAGGGGCGCATGCACCACGGCAGCCATCTCCCCGGGAAGGAGGCACAGAGAGGGCGGGCCTCGCCCAGGGCCACTCAGACGGCAAGAAAAGCCAGGATTTGGCCCAGGCTTCCCAGAGCTGGAGAACAGGCTAGTCACCACCACCTTCTTTTCCTGTCCCCTTCCTAGCCCACTGCTGCTGTTAGTCTCCCAGGTGTGCACAGGAGAGGAGGAGAATAGTAAGTGACAAAAGGTGAAATAAGATAGAGCCCTCGGCGGTCCGGGTCTGTCTCCTGCTTCAAGTGTTTGGACGGAACAGACTCAGGGACTCCCCTTCTTCCAGCTTCCGACCTCTCTCCAGCCTCTTATCCAGTCACCCCTTCAGAACCACCTCCAGAACCCCACCTCTCTCCAGCCTCTTATCCAGTCACCCCTTCAGAACCACCTCCAGAACCCCACCTCTCTCCAGCCTCTTATCCAGTCACCCCTTCAGAACTACCTCCAGAACCCCTTCCAGAACCACCCCCAGAACCACCCCCAGATCCACCCTCAGAAAGCACCCCCCAGAACCACCCCCAGAACCACCTCCAGAACCACCTCCAGAACCCCTTCCAGAACCCCCCCCAGAACCACCTCCAGAACCACCTCCAGAACCACCCCCAGAACCACCTCCAGAACCACCTCCAGAACCACCCCCAGATCCATCCCCAGAACCACCTCCAGAACCACCCCCAGAACCACCCCCAGAACCACCTCCAGAACCACCCCCAGAACCACCCCCAGAACCACCTCTGAGACCAGCCAACACACCGGGGTTTTTCTCCCTTACCTCCTCATTGCCGAACAACCATGAGCTCCCACATTCACCGGAATTATTCCACCGAGGAGGGAGCCGCGGTCAACCGCCTGGCCAGCCTGCGTCCGCGGGGCCCGCACCTGCCTCTCCCTGGGCTTCTGCTTCCCCGTGACCACGTGGCCCTCGAGGGCGTGGCCGCCTCTCCTGCGAGCTGGCGGAGAAGAAGGTCAAGGGCGCTGAGCGTCCTTTAAAGGACGTGCCGAGCCTCCCCAAGGCGAGTGGGCAAAACTCAGGGCCACGGCAGCCGCCTGGCCCTGGAGAGGACCTGACCCAGGCCCTTGGGAGCTGCAGGCCCTGGTTCTGCCCGCACAGACCCTCAGCTCCATGACTTCCTGCAGAACCACTTCCGGGTGAGGAGGTGAACCTCATCAGGAAGATGGGCGACACCTGACTCACCCCCAGGCTGCGGCCCCCAGTCTGGTGGGCGAGCATCTTCCTCAGGCTCCCCCTCAGGCACGGCCAGGAGCCTGTGGAGCCCAGAGGCTCTGAGGGCCCCTCGGCACCCCCTGGCGCCTGGCTCTTACCTGAGCCTCTCCCTGAAGCCCTCTCCCAGGCTTTGGACCAAATGAAAAAATAAAGTTTTTGCAGAAAAAAAAAAAAAGAAAGTAAGAAAAAGAGGAGAAATGAAATAAAAATTAGTAACAGGACAGCCATAGCTGGTGTTGCTCAGTGGTTTGAGTGTTGGCCTGCCCACCAAAGGTTTGTTGGTTTGATTCCCAGTTAAGGGCATGTACCGCGCTTGTAGGTTTGATCCCTTGGCCCTGGTCAGGGCACGTGTGAGAACGAATCATTGGTCAGCTGCCTCTTCCACACCCCTACTGGGTCTGGAGTCCGCACTGGGCATGTGTTCTGGCCTGGAATTGAACCCGATCTGCAGGCCACCCAGCTAGGGCTACATTAACTCATTGAATGCCACCCCCTGAGGCAATCCTGAGAAAAAGCAGGAACCTAAATGCAGTCAGTGATGTAAGGGAAACCTGGGAGCAGACCCGAGTGACGTGGGAGTGAACAGCCAGGCAGGGTCTTCAGGTCGGGAAAGAGGCCCCAGGAAGCGAAGCACGCGGCCAAAAGCAAATGGGGCTAAAGCAGTGGTGGGCAAACTGCGGCTCTCGAGCCACAAGCGGCTCTTTGGCCCCTTGAGTGTGGCTCTTCCACAAAATACCACGGCCTGGGCGGGTCTATTTTGAAGAAGTGGCGTTAGAAGTAGTTTAAGTTTTAAAAATTTGGCTCTCCAAAGAAATTTCAGTCGTTGTACTGTTGATATTTGGCTCTGTTGACTAATGAGTTTGCCGACCACTGCGCTAAAGGATCTGCAGAACAACCCACGTTACGGGGTTAAAGGCTTTTAAAAGACCATTTACATCAGCCTAGGAGTCGGGTAGGCTGAGAACAGGCCCCTAATCATACCTTCTACCAAGACAGCAAGACCTACTGAGAAACCCTCTTTACCTAAAGCCACTTCCCTTCCCGCACAGATGGCCGCCCTCAGCCTGCACCCTTCTCCCACGTCCTCAGCGGGCAGAGGCCGGGAGGGAGAAGTGTGCAGGCTGAGGGTGGAAGGCCGAACCCAGCCTGCAGGTCCCTGGAGCTCGGTGCCCAGTGAGCAATGGAGTCTGTGTAACAGCCGGTGATTGGACGAGGGATGTCGGAGTGGGCAAGGGCAGCATGCCGCGGTGGGCTGGGGGCTGCTGCAAGAGGGAGGCCAGCAGTGAACAGGTGGGGCGGGAGGAAGCACCATTCGCCTGGAGGGGAGGGCACCAAGAGGCGCACACAGCTCCCCAGGCAGACAGCTCCCCAGGCCAAGCGCCCGCACAGCGGCTGAGGCGGGAAGCGGCCCACTCCGGCCCCTTTACGCCCTTCCATCCCAGGGACAGTTCTACCTCGATGTTCCACACCAGTTTTTCCCCTTTGCAATTCCTGGACTTGTCTCAGTCCCCAAGACCCCCAAAAGAAGGTGAGCAGGCAGAGATTGGGGGGAAGCGATGGCTGACATTAATTGATAGGAGCAGCTTCCAGCAGTTCATGCTGCCTTATCTCTCTCCTTTGGATGGCGTGTGTCCGCGGAGTCCGCGGGGTCGGTGATTAATAGGGGCCATCACTCACTGTCCGGGGCGGCTGAAAGGCAGCGGGGAGGGGGCGGCCCTCCCCAGAACTGAGATAACAAGCAGCAGGAATAATGAGTGGTGTCACTCCACTTTTCATTTTGATGGAAAGTCATTACGGGAGTCAACGCCGGCGACAAAGAGCCATGAATCAACTGCTCTGCTATGAAATTAAAATCGAATTGCCGGCCATCCTGGCCCCTACCCTTCCTGGGAAGCAGAGACGGGTAGGTGGCTTGGGAGACGGGTGCTGTCTTGGGGTGGGCTCTACCCAATCAGAGCGCGGGCAGTTACGGGCAGGAAGTGAACAGGCAGCTAGTGAAGGTGACAACTCCTGTCTGCACCTTGTTCATCAGCTTTCCTCCCCAAACCGCATTTCCCCTCGGGGGTGGGGGGGTGGGGGGGAGAGCTGTGGCTGAAAGGGAAAGACAGCTTTGCTGGCTCCAGCAAGGCCACCTGACTGCTTCCCTTGGGCTCTGGCCGAGTGGGGCAGGCTGGACCTGGCTCCGAAAAGGGGGCCCCCTGACTCAGTGACCCCAGAGCCCCTTGCTGAGCCACCTGCAGACTCTAATCTGGTCCCTCCCTGCCACCCAGAGGACAGCGCCCTCACCTGGGCCTGCACAGGAACAGCTGGTGGCCCAGGGAACCATGGGGATCACGACCCCCATGCAAACAGGTGTGCAGCCTCAGCTCCAGGCCCAGAGAAGCAGAAACTATCAGGATCCAGCCAGTCTCTTCCTCTTTATTAAGTCCAGCTGGGTTAACAGGGAGGCGCTGGGCTGTCAGGCTGACAGGCTACAGGGCCCACAAGACAGCTTCTTGCAGAGTCCAGTGAGTGCCAAGGTCACCATCTGGGTGATGGTTCCCGCACGTGGCTTTCCGTCCTCCAGCAGCCTGGTCTCTTGCTGGGAAAGGCCCTGCCACATCAGCCCTGGCATCCCCGCCCCGTCCTGAAGGCCGAGGAGACGAGCAGGAGGCGTGAGGGTCACAGAGAGGTCCCCATCAGGTTCACGGGGCGCCCGTTGTACCTCTTGGAAATGTCAGCTTCGATCTGAAAGACAGCGACAGCGATGCCGAGTGGGCCTCATTCTGCAGAAACTGGGGATCCCCCCCTGGTAGGGTTCCCTTTCCTGTCTTACCAGCTTCTGCAGCTCCTTGGTCTTCTCCAGCAGCAGGTCCAGCTTGGGCTCCAGAGCTGCCTGCTCCTGCAGTGCCTCCTGCTGCTTCTGCACCATCAGCTCCTTCTTCAGAGCCAGCAGCTGGGACTGCTTCAGCTTTTGCTGGAGGAACTCGGTCACTCTGTCCACGTACCTGCGGGCGGTCAGGGCAGGGGTGTAGCAGAGCTTCCTGTTCCACTGTGAAGATGCAGCTCAGGAAACCAACCCCTTAGTTGGCCTCATCCCTCCACCTCTGCTGTAAGGACACCCCCTGGCTCCCCTGTCCTCCGGGTCCTGCACACATCACATCCCCCCCATCTTGCCCCAGAGAATCTAGATGCCCAGGTGGGCAGGCCCAGCCATGGAGGGCAGGCACGAGGTCTAAGGGGTCTCGGAGAAGAAGACAGGGGTGAGGACTCTTCAGGTGGAGGAGACCTGCTCCGATCCCGGCACAGCCCAATGCCAAGGGGAAGCCGGACCTGGGTGAGGCCAGGATCATAAACAGGTGCTGCATTCGGAGATTGGTGAGCCGGCCAATCAGGTCCTGCAGCAGTGACGCCATGGTTTCCATCTTCGCCTTGGTCTGGCCCTGCAGGATGGCTGGAGCCAGCTGGAACTGGCTCACAGACAGGATGTCGGCCTCCTCGCTCATCTCCACTGCTCTCTGGGACAGGAAGATCTCGAGCTGAGGACGAAGAGGATTTGGTTCAAACCAAGAAGAGAATCTGAGGCTAAGCCCTCAGCCGGCCCCAAACGAAGAATGAGACGAAAGGGTGAGGCTCTGGGTGCGGAGGGCTTCCTTCCTCTGAATGGTTTTATTGCTGGAAACACACCAACTCTCACGGGGGAGCCTGGGCAGCCTCTGCTGTCACCGTTCCTGCCGCAGGCCCCGTCCAGGCCTGGACCCGCTTCCTCCCCGCTGCGGTCAGATGGCAGAACGCAGAGATTCAGAGGGCCCTCTCAGCCCGGGAAAGGTGTCTTCTCTCCGGGGGAGGAATGAGACTCAGGGGCAGGAATCCCTGGAATAGGAAGGACTAGGAAGCTCTGAGAACAGCCCACAGCTGTCCCTCTCACTCAACCACGGAAGCTGATCCCCTCCATCCCCCTCTGCCATGGAGGCCAGGAGGAGCCTCTCTGGAGGGAAAGAGGCTGAACCTGCTGAGGACAATAATCTTCACAAAGCCTCCCAGCCGCAGGGCCCTGGGAGGGAACAGACCCAGCGAGGAACAAGGGCAGCCCCCAGGCCCACAAGGACCGAGAACACGGGCTCCTGACCCTGGGCTGCTGTACCTTCGCCCCGGGGCAGTACTGACACAAATTCTCATGTGGCTCTGAGCCTCTAACAGCATCTCAGTCACTAGCAGAAAAAGCCCAAGTCCAGATGCGTCACCTCTGATAGCCTTTCCGTCCACCCGCAGCTCTGCCAGGCCGGCCTCCGTGCATCACGGGTGCAAGGCGTGCGCCCTCTGCCTGGAGCTTTAGGCCAGGCCTCTGCATGGCTTCCGCATCCCTCAGATCCTGGCTAACTGGTCACCTCACCACGAGGCCTTCCCTGGACACCGGAGCTAAAGCCCAGCAACCCACCGGCATCCTTTTCCTCCGGCACTTCCGTTAACACCTGACGGGCACTTCCGTTAACACCTGACGGGCACTTCCGTTAACACCTGACGTACCGCATCTCTTACTTCACTCATCTGTTTCCCGTCTGCATTCCCACTGGACCTAAGCTCCAGGGGGCCAAGGACTTGGCTGCTTTATTCCCCACTCACTCTCGGCACGTTAGGCAGCGCCAGGGGCTGAGAAAGGGCAGGATAAATCCTTGCTGAATGGATGGGGCATCTCTGGGGTCCTTCATAGAAACAGGACGGGCGGGTCGGGGTCTGGAGCAAGGCCAGCTCCCACCCTCTCGCCGAGGATGACGGTACCTCCATGAGCTCATCGATGAACTGATTCCGGGTCTCGGGGTATTCGAGGAGCGTCAGGGCATCGGGGCCCCTGGCAACACCTTCCGGAGCTGCCGGGAGAGACAGAGAGGTGAGGAGCCGAGGACCGGAGGAGACCTCCCCCAGTGAGCCGCTCCGGTGGGTTAATACGGACATGGACTCACTGAACTAAAGCACCTCCTGTTCCAACCCCAGGGGGGAAGGTTACCCATGCGGGTGTCTCAGCCCGTCAGTGAGGACCGCAGCGCTGGGTCTGAGGAGTGAGGCCAGCCCTCTGGGCGATGGGGGGAAGTCTCGGCCTGCACTGCCCTCTAGTGGCTCACATCGCTGCTACAGCCTCCCAGCGGGTGGGGAGGGTCAGTTCAGACTCGGAGCCTATGGCACTCAGGGAGCCCCCTGGCCAGAATGGCTGGCCCCCATCCTCTCTAAAGCCTTGAGGGCTTCGGGCAGGGACGGTGCACTCACCCTCGGTTCCAGCCTCCACCACGGTGATCTGCAGAGCGGCAGCATCGTCTCCCCAGGCTTCCTGGGTGGAAAGCCAAGAACCCCAGGAATGTGGGCAGAATTCTCCCAGCAAAGGAAGCCCTCCCCAAGGACAACAACCGCCCATCTCAACTGCAGGAAGGACAGGCAGGCCCATGGTGCGTGGCAAAGAGGCCGGCGCGAGGCCATGCGCGTTGCGACCCTCCCCCACTTTGTAGAGTTACCACCGGCTGACAGCCCCCACCTCGCCCCAAACACCAGGAGAGGTCACGTGGCTGAGATGTCCCTTTGGAAGCTGCCTCCCCTGGACCACACCTGGTCTGAGCTACGAGCTTCCATGGTGCCTTCGAAGGCACAGACCAGACGTTCTCCTCACTGAAGCAGTCCTCAGAGACGCACCGAGAGGGCAGCCTCACCTTGGAGTCTGATTCCAGGGAGATGCCCCAGTCAATGCCGGCGGGCTGGGCAGGGTCTGTCCCTTCAGAGGCCACCTCCACCCCGAAGTCGCCCCAGTCGATCTGGAAGGAGGCAGAGGGTTAGCTCGCAGAAGGCGGGCTGATAGGGAGGGACCTGCCTTCCCAGGGCCTCGGCCGCCTCAGTGGGATGTGCTAGTCACTGTCTAAATGTAGTGGCCTCCGAGCTCCCCAGGGAGAGCCCAGCTCGGAGCTGATGGGACTGACGGTTCCCAGTTCAGAGCCAAGCAGCTTGCTGAGGTTCTCTAGTCTGACCTGAGGAAGGCCAGAAAGCCCGCCGGCGTGGCTCAGAGGCTGAGCATCGACCTCTGAACCAGGAGGTCACGGTTCGATTCCCCATCAGGGCATGTGCCTGGCCTGCGGGCTCAATCCCATGTGCCTGGCCTGCGGGCTCAATCCCTGCAAGAGGCAGCTGATCGATGATTCTCTCATCGTTGATGTTTCTCTCTCTCCTTTTCCCTTCTTCTCTGAAATCAATAAAAATGTATTTAAAAAAAAAAAAGTGGCCTGAGAAATAGGGGCGTCGGGCCCCCGGGCCCTTCCACCAAAGCCTCTCACACAAACCCCCTCCCCCTCTGGGACGCTGATCCAGGCTGAGGCCGGGGCTGTGCGCTGGGAGGGTGGGGAGCAGCTCCGCTCGGCCTGTCTCACCGCGTCCTCTTCCACCGGCTCGGGCGGCTCCTCCAGGTCTGGCCGCTCCACCACGGCGGGCTCGGTCCCCGTCCGCCACTCGTACACCGTGGCGTTGCCCCGCCTCTGCATGAACCGCAGCATCGGCAGCACCTCCTCTTCGGGGCTGCAACGGCATGCAACGGAGCCTCCGGCCGCCCGCCCACGAGGCCAGCAGGGTTCCGGCGACGGGCAGAGCTCCCCGCTCAAGGGTCCCGTGGGGAAATGCGAGTGGAGGAGAGAGAACAGCCGGGGACACTGGCGGCAGACTGTCCCCGCTGGGGGCAGCGCGGTCCTTACCTTTCGCACACGAAGCCCACGCAGGCCTGGTACAGGTCGATGGCCTCCCCCAGGGCCTGGGCCCCCGCCCCGATCTCGGCCAGCTGGCTGGGGAGCTCCTTCACCAGGGCCAGCAGCTCCCTCCGCACATTGTCTCCCTGGGGGGGGCGGGGAGGCTGAGGCGGAGCAGCGGGAAGGGGGCCGCGGACTAAAGAAAGCATGGAGGACCAGGCGGGAGAGAGCTGGCCCCGAAGGGCACAGGCCGGCCGCGGGGGAGCCTTTCCCGGAGGCAGCGTGTGGGGCCCCCACTCCCCCGCGCGCTCACCGTGATGCCGTACTGCTTGCATGAGTGGTAGAACTGCTCCCGCATCTCCGCGGCCCCGCCCTGGCCCTCCTCCTCCTTGCGGCTGTACTCCTGCTGCAGCTGCTGGCACTTGGCGATCTGCTTCTTCAGCGAGGGGATCTCGTAGGTGACGTTCCGGACGAGGAGGCTGGAGAGCTCCACTGAGAAGGGCCAGGACGTCCGCCTCAGACACCGGCCCGGAGGCCAGCACGCCCCAGGACACGCACACGGGTACCCTTCGCTGGCGGGAAGAGACGGGGTGGCTCCCAGCTCCTCCCTCCCTCGCTGTGGAACCTAAGACAGCCATTAAACTCCCTAACTCAGTCCTCACTGTATCACAAGGACGGCAGTGTTTGCCCTGAGGACCAAAAGAGGGATCCACATAAACACCAAGCCCAATTCCTGGATTTAGGTATTTAGTACCGTATTTTTCGGACCATAAGATGCTCCGGACCATAAGACGCCCCAGTTTTTAGAGAAGGGAAATGAAGAAAAAAAGATTCTGAAACAAATAGAGTCCTAAAATATTTTATGTGCATTAAAACCCAACATCACAGTCATAAACACATGTAATCAACCCTGTAAAGTAAACAGCAGCATTTAGAACCATTTTAGAGCCGGGCAAGCACACAGAGACCACACAGAGCCGGGCAAGTAAAAAAACTTTTTTTTTAAAGTATATGTGTAGGCTATATTTGGACCATAAGACGCAGGGTCTTATGGTCCGAAAAATACGGTAGGTGCTTGGTGAATACTAGCTATTATAATTATTATTATTTATACTATCTGAAAACACACCCAAACTACAATCAGCCCCTCAATTACTCTCTCAGGAACCTGATATGGCCCCAGGGTAATCCCTGCATCTTCTGCTACTAGAGACGGGGGGTGCGGAGGGAACGGGCCCCACACTCCACCTTACCAAAGCTCAGAGGGGAGAACTCCCCCACACCTGCTGGGTCGGGCCTGGCGTTTGCCTGTTACCCACCTCCCAGCACTGGAAGTTACTCCCCGACCCGGCCAACGCCTACAGCCCAGCCTCTCCCTCCACGTCTGTGTCTCCTGGAAGCTCAGTGACCGGAACTATGGGAGTGGGAGACCGGAGGCCCAGGCTGCCCTCCTCACCCAGGTAGCTGTTGTCCTTCTCATACAGGGCCACGATCTCCTGCCAGTCCTGCGGAGGACAGGAACAGGAAGTGAGCCAGGACGGCACATCCCAGCGCCAGCTCCCCCGGTCTTCACATCACATCACGCACAACGCCCCGTGCTCCTCTGTAGCACCGGCTGGACCACCCGCTGGATTTTAAGAGTGTGGCACCAACGAGCACGCCCCAGAGGAGCTACTTTTAGCATTCACCATGGGGATGGAGAGAAAGTTCCAGAAGCGTGCCATGGAGGCTCTCCACCGGATCCTCTGAGAGACCGGAGAGGCTCTGACCCCATTGCGACCCTCGCCCACACTTGCCTTCATTCGCTGGGAAGAGTACCGGCCGAAAATGTTTTTTGTGGAAGCTTCGGTGCCTTTGAGAAGGTCCACGATTCGTAGGCAGTGAAAGTAGTGGATGTCTGGAAAGCAAGGAACAGCAAAGACATTGAGAATCCCAGTACCTCCCCCAGCTACTCCGGCCAATCGCCAACTCCCATGCCCGTGAGGGAAATAAGCGCAGCTCTCCCATCATGCGCAGCTCCCGCCTCCATCAGTGTGTGATGAAGAAATGAGCATCTAGCCCCCAGGACAGATCCTTCTCTGGGGACCCGCTGTGACTGACCGCAGGGGAGGGCTCCGGGCACGTGGCCCACGCACTCACAGGAGCCGGAAAGCAGCTGGGCGATCTCTTCGCTCTCCGGCATGTCCTGGATGGCAGCATTGATCTTCTCCCGGATGGTCATCACCAGGCTCTGCCACTTCAGGTTGCAATGCCGCCTGTCCACCAGCCAGTCTACGTGAGAAACACCCAGGTCACAGCGCTCCCATTCGTCCGGCCAGCCACGCTACGACAGTGGCTGAACGTTGTGCTCACACCGGTGAAGGTGTGGGGGTCACGGGGATTTGGGAAAGAAGCCAGGCCCTAAGGGATGCTGGCGGGGGCTAACCAGGCGCGGGCAGCCTGACTCCCCACAGCAGTCGCCTCCCCACAGGGAGAGAGAAAAGCTTTATGTCCTGACATCAAAGCGCCACTTCTGACCGCTCTACAGTCTCCATAATGTTTCTGCTTCCAGGGCTAATTACACCTTTCCTGACAGAGGATGAGGTTCGACTTCCACTTCCTCGGGGCTGGATTAACCGCGACAATGAGAAACACAGAGGGTTATGCCAAGTACCGGCGGGGATGAACAACCGCAAAGCCCCTAATCCCCGTAGCGCCCCGAAGACGGCACCACACGGGTCTGTTTTTACAGGGAAGTCCCGCCTCGGACACGTGACTGCATGTGACTGACCTGGAAGCTGGGCCTGGGTCTATGCATTCAGTAGGAGAGGGTCAGGGCGGCTGAGAGCCACGCGTGTTTTTTCAGTAGGATAGAGCTAAGGGCTAGGCGTTGTGGTTCAGGCGGTCCCGCCTTCTATTTATCAACTTCCCCGGGCAAGTCTCTCAACCTCCGTGCCTCGGTTTCCCCACATGCAGAATGGGGATAATAAGGTACTGAGTATAAGGGGAAATGTAGGGAAAGCATTGAACAATGTGCCTGTTACATGGCAAGGACTCCATAAACCCTCCTGATCTTCCCTTGTACAATGCCACGTGCCTAAAAACCTGGTCCGTGAATGACTGAGGGCCTGCTCCGTACCCCCCGTGACCGAGGACAAGTTCACACACTGAGGCTGCACCTGGGCTGGAGAGCTGGGACAGATCTGAAATGAAGCCAAGGAAGCGGCCACTGCACAGGACTGACTGGCCCACAGCGGTCAATTCAGAACCTGCCCTGGCTAATAATAATAATAATATAATAATAATAATAATCGGTCCAACATGGGGGCCCCACAGTAGTGATCATTCTACTCCCTCTGCTGTACTCCTTTAAAATGTTCAGGAAGAAAACCTCTGTGGATGTCATCGAACCAGAAGCAAACTGACATCCTAATGAAAGATACGGCATCACACCCATTAATCCAGGAAGGAGTTAAAGACCCAGCAGCCGTGCAGTGCCCCGGAGGAAGGGGTCCTTCCCTCGCCCTGAACTGGGAAGCGGCTCTTTGGACCAGATTCAGACCTCAGGGAGATGGCCCTGCCACTAACAGGCCTTTATTGCCAACTGGGTCTCTGTCCCCCTTCTTCCTAAACTCAGGGGAGACGGAGCTTTTAAAAAGAGGGAGCCCTGGCTGGCGGCTGGCATGGCTCGGGGGTGGAACGTCGACCTAGGAGCCAAGATGTCGCTGTTCGGTTCCCACCAGGGTTATGGGCGCAATCCCCAGTGTGGGGCGTGCAGGAGACAGCTGGTCAATGATTCCCTCTTATCACTGATGCTTCTCTCTCTCTCTCCCTTCCTCTCTGAAATCAATCCTATCCTCCTCCTCCTCCTATATAATAAAAGGGTAATATGCAAATGTACTGAACTACCGGTCACTATGACATGCACTGACCAGCAGGGGGCAGACGCTCAACACAGGAGCTGCCCCACAGTGCGTTCCCACAGCCGGAGGCCGCTCAGACACAAAATGGGCTGAGGTCCAGGCGGGCGGCCAGCCTGCCCGGTGGCCAGCCTCTGTGGCAGCGCTGAGGCAGTCAGACTGTGGCTTAGGGATGGGCCTAAGCTGTCAGTTGGACATCCCCTGAGAGCACAGGGACTGTAACCCCCCCCTCCCTCCAGTGCACGAATGTCACGCACTGGGCCTCTAGTAAAAATGTTTATAAATAAATAGATGGCCGAGACCGGTTTTGGCTCAGTGAATAGAGCGTAAGTCTGCGGACTGAAAGGTCCCAGGTTCAATTCCTGTCAAGGGCATGTATTCGATACATGTCCCATTTCAGACCTGCCATCCCCTCCCCGGCCTGAAGGATGTGACCGGCCGCACAGGTTTAAAACCGGGCCCAGTGCAGACCAGGGCGGCCCCTCCCGCTCCGGTTAGCGAGGCCGGGGCACAGGCCGGCCGGCCGGTCAGCGGTGTGACAGGGGCCCCGGCCGCAGGGCTCCCAGCTGCTGGCGGCAGGGGCAGGGGCAGGGGCGGGGGCCGGAGCCGGGGCCGGGCTCCCCAGACAGCTGGCTGCGGGGACGCCGTCCTACCGAGCAGCTTGCTGGTCTGGATGTCGATGGGCACGTGCTGGTGGTCCTGGCGGGAAACAGACAAACAGCGGTGTGAGCGGGGCGGGGCGGGCGGGCCACTCGCGCTCATGTCACGGGCGCCCGCGGGGCCGGGACGAGGGGCGGGGAGGGCCCGCCCGGGAGGGTGGCCGGGGAAGGGATTCGGGACGGACCGGCCGAACCGAACTCAGGGGTCCCGGGAGAGCTCCCGCCCCATCCCCTCGGCTCCCGCTCCCCCACCTGCATCTCTCCTCCACTCGTGCTTCCGGCGCCGGCCGGGCAGCCCCGCCTCCCGCCTCCTGCGCCGATGGCGCAGCTGCAGCTCAGGCCCCAGCCCGCCTCCGCCGCCACGTCGCCGCTTTCCTCAGAGCCAATCGGGCGCTCGCTCCACCCCTGGCCGCAAGCCCCACCCACCCCCGGGCTCCGAATGGCTGAGCCGAGGAGGGGCGGGAGAACGGGAGGCAGCCAATGGGCGCCGGGGAGAGGCGGGGCGCCAGGAAGAGCTGCCGTGAGGCACGATCGCGGCAGGCGGCGCCCGAGAGCTGGGCGCAGCCACGTGGAACCCGCTGAGCGCAGATTAACGCGTCTGCAGGGTCGTAGCGCCGCCGAGCGCACCTGAGGATTTCTCATAGTTTGTAACTTGTTACACTTGGCCTTCCCATTCAGTTTATCTAATGTGTTGAGCACCTGCTACGTGCTCATTAGGACAGGGAAGGGGAGGAAAGAGGGCCAAGGGAGGCATCCCAAGCACAAAGTGCCTAGCTGGTTTGGCTCAGTGAATAGAGCGTTGGTCTGCAGACTGAAGGGTCCCAGGTTTGATTCTGGCCAAAGGCACATGTCTGGGTTGTGAGCTTGATACCCAGTAGGGGGTGTGCAGAAGGTAGCCGATCAATGATGATTCTCATCATTGATGTTTCTATCTCTCTATCCCTCTCCCTCTCTGAAATCAATAAATTGGTTTTTTTTTAATGCCTAAACTGAGTCTTAAAGGAAGAGCTGCAGAAAGAGGGGTGATGTGTGGAGGGGTGTTTCCGGTGGAGGAGACTCTACAGACAAAGCTTGGAGGCCACCAGATGCAAGACAGGTGCAGGGAACCGGCAATATAACTTGTGGGGTCCAGTGTAAATGAAAATTCGGGGCCCCTGCTTTGGCCTGTGTGACTGGGTTGGGCGTCCTCCGATGCAAGGAAAGGTTGCTGGTTTGATTCGGTCAAGGGCACATGCCCAGGTTGCAGACTCCATCCCCAGTAGGGGGCGTGCAGGAGGCAGCTGATTGATGTTAGGCTCTCACATCAATGTTTCTCTCCCTTCCTTGCTCTCTAAAAATAAATTTTTAAATATATATATATTAAAGTGCATGGCCCTTGCTAAAAAATATGAAGGATTTAAAAAAAAATATGAAGGATTTTAAGAGGGCACTGCATAGGTCTCACACTCAGGAAGCTGGTCAAGCAGGCCAGCCTCTGTGCAGTAAAAGGCATGGACTGGCCAGAGAAGAGGCTGTAAAGGTTGGATGGTCATATCATAGGGAGTCTCATTAAAGAACTTGGGCCCTGGCTGGTGAGATCAGTGGTTAGAGCAGTGGCCCCTCTCACTGAAGGGTTATGGGTTCAATTCCCAGTCAGGGGCATGTTCCCGGGTTGCAAGTTCACCCCCAGCCCCTATCAAGGTGTGTGTGGGCGTCAACCAATCAATGTGTCTCCCTCACATCGATGTTTCTCTCTTTCCCTCCCTCCCCTCCACTCGTTCTAAAAATCGATGGAAAAAATATCCTCAAGTGAGGATTTAAAAAAAATTAAGAAGATCTTGGCCTTCACCCCTGCCACTGGAGGAGAACCACTGGAGGGTTTTAAGGGTTTGAGGCAGGGAGGGCTGCAAAGAGGATGGATTTGTGGGATATAAGAACGTGAGATAAGACAGCCAGGAGGTTATGAGGCAGAAGTTCGGGCCAGCCTGGGAGAGAGGCATGGGCAGCGTGGGAGGGCTGGGTTTCAGAATGCTTTGGTGGAAAATGAGCAGAACTTGGCCAGTGATTGGCTGTGTGTGTGTGGCGGGGGGGGGACTGCAAGGATGACACCTGAATGGAGGAGCCACACTCTGAGACAGGGATGTGGATGCTGAGCTGGGCGGGGGGTTGGGGGGGTGGAGTTTGAGCCTCGGGCTTGTGGGGTGCTGGGGGACCCTGTGGGAAGGCTGCAGGAGACACCGAGGTCCATAGCTTGAGTTCAGAGGAGCCATGGGCTGGAGGACACTTGGAGAGCCACCGCTGAGCCGTGGGCCTGGTGGCCCTGCAGCGAGGGAGGTGTGGGGTTCGGGAGAGAAGGTGGGGCGAGAACACATCCCTGGCATCTCACAGGGCTGGGGGGGCACCGGGGGGCCCGTCCTTCCAGGTTGTCAGCTCCTCCAGGGCCCCCCTCCCCCCGGCTCTCGGGGCTCAGCGAATGTTTTATTAAACAGATCGAGATTCCTGCCCGCTGAGATCTGGCCGCTGCCCACAGCCTCGCTGCCAGCGCCGTTTCCTCCCAGGAGATAGCGCCTATCGCGCCCATCTGGGGTATGTCTGTTCGTAGCGTACACAACAGCAGTCCAGACGCACTCACTCTTCACCGTTACAGCACGCCTGCATACAAATACAAAAAGAAAAAAACACGCCTCCATTCAGCTTCTCATGCTTTGTGAGCTGTGTGTGTGTGTGAGTGTGTGTAAGTGTGCGTGTGAGACTGTGTGTATGAGTGTGCGTGTGAGAGTGTGTGTGTGTATGTGTGTGTGAGTGTGTGAGAGTGTATGTGTGTGTGTGAGTGTGTGTGTGAATGTGTGTATGTGAGTGTGTATGTGAATGTATGTGTGAATGTGTGTGTGTGAGAGTGTGTGTGTGTGTGTCTGTGAATGTGTGTGAGTGTGAGTGTGTGTGAGTGTGAGTGTGAGTGTGTGTGTGTGTGAGAGTGTGTGTGACTGTATGTGTGAGTGTGTGTGTGAGTGTGTGTGTGAGTGTGTGTGAGTGTGTGTGTGTGAGTGTGTGTGTGTGTGTGTGTATGTGAGAGTGTGTGAGTGTGTGAGAGTGTGTGTGTGACTGTGTGTGTGAGTGAGAGTGTGTGTGTGTGTCTGTGAATGTGTGAGTGTGTGTGTGTGAGTGTGTGTGTGTGTGTGACGTTAATCATTAGCACAGCACGAGTTGAGAGACTTTCCTGAAAATGGCTCCCGGCAGGTGGAGGGCTCTCAGGGCTCTCGTGTGGGAACTGGCTCTCGTCTCAGAGCCCTGACTCAGCCTCCAGGAATGGCGGGGCTCCCCCTCTGCACCCCCTCCCTCACCAAACACACACGGGCTGTGGCTGTGTCTCTGGCGCCGGGACATCCAGGAAGCTGTCCCCACCCCACCCGCACCCCAGTCCCCGGTGCCTCTCCCGCTGCATCAGCAGGCGGCGGGCCGGGTGGGAGCCGGGCCCAGCCCGGTGACGGTGATGGGGACGCGGCGAGACCACTGGCGCTCCCGCCCTCCGCTCCCGGTGACTCACTCCCTCAGCCTGGCCTCTGGGCACCGCGGGCGGCTGCCGGAGGGCAGGGTGTGGGCTCGGTCCCCTTCTCCAGGCCAGGGAGCCTCCGGGCGGGGGCAGAGGGGCAGTGAGTGGCGGGCCTCCGGGCCTCGGGGTTCCCAGCAGCTGGACAATGGTGTGTGGGGGGTGCTTCTGACCGAGTACCCCCACTTCCTGCTGACTTAGCAGGTGGGAGGGACCCTGTCTGGGAGAGAAACGGGCACAGAGCACACGCCCTCGGGCTCTGCAGCAGCCGCCCTCCGGGGCCCTGTGCTGGGCGGCTGTCGTCCTCCCAGCCAGGGTGCTGACTCAGAGATGGCAGGAGCCCCGGTCAGCGTGGATCTCCTGCCTGACAAGTCTTATCTGCTCCGATCCCGCAGCCTGTGGCGTGGGCACCCTACTGGCCCATTGGAAAGGCAGGGCGCCAGCACTTCCACACGTAACCGCCCGGCACCGCGCAGGTCCTGGGGCTGGGAGTCTCCCCGGGCCTGGCTCCCCCTCCAGCATCCTTTCTCTGAGGACCTGTCTTCTCCTGCAGCCCTGCCTGTCCCCTCCCCAGCCCAGCGCCCGGCCCCTCTCTCCCTCCCGCTCCTCGGCCTCACTCCCATGTCCTCCCCAGTTGTTGTGCCAAACAGTCAGAACCCCCGCCCACCCTGCGATCCCGCCCCTTTCCAAAGTTCTTTCCTGCCACACCCGTCCTGGGTGAGGGCGCCCATTGCTCCCTTCCTGCAATAGCCATAAAGAGGGAGGCTTACCCCTGCGTCAAAGCAATCCATATTCTAACCGGCCCTAAGTTTATTACTTTATGGTCCGTGTCTTCTGCGTGTTTGCTCACAGCCACGCTGCCTGTGTGTGTGTGTGTGTGTGTGTGTGTGTGTGTGTGTGGTCTGCCTGCCAGCAGGGAGCTCAGCAGCTTCAGGGGCCCTTGCTTGTTTGCACTATGACCTCCGTGTGACCTCTGTGTGGTGTTGTCCAGTGTGTGTCCTCCCGGCTACCCTGGGGGCAGCTGTGGGCAGGAGGACAGTCTCTTCACCCCGGGACCCCAGCCCCGGCCTAGCAGCTGACATTGACCGTGAGGGGCCTGGCGGTGGGGAAGAGGGAGGACTGAGAGGAGGTGCTGCTGTGCACGAAGGCGGTTAGTGACGAGGGGACCAGGGTCACAGGTCTGGGGCGGAGTGTGTTGCCCCGCCTGTGCCCTCTCCCTCTCTCTGCAGCTCAGGACTCGCAGTCCGGCCCCCAGACCGCCGGGAGCCAGAGGGAGGAAAGTGGGGTGAAGGCGGCAGGGCTGGCTGGCTCCCCGAGTTAGGCACAGACCGTGACTTAACTCACCAGCCGGGTGGCGCTCTGGGGCCGCTGGCCACACCCTAGACCCCGGCTGCCGTGCCCTCCCGGCCGGCCGTGCCCTCCAGCGCCTCCCTGGGTGGCCCCGTGGGTGGGCCTGAGGTGTGGTCTCCTAAGGGTGCCCCTCATTTCGTTGTCTCACCCCCGTCACAGTGTGTGTGTGGGGGGGACACCCAAGCCCCCGGCCCAGCCACCCGGCCTGCCAGCCTCCCTCCCCATGTGCATGATGTCAGGGACCCTCCGTTTGCCGAGAACGATTTCCCAACCGAGACACAGACACGTGGTCCCCACCCTCAGACAGCGAGGATGTGTGCGGGCCACCCCCTGACAGCACCGCCAGTGCCCAGCCTGCGCCCATGCAGCACAAGTCTCATACGTATATTAGAGGCCCGGGGCACGAATTCGTGCATGGCTGGGGTCCGGCCAGCCTGGCCAGGGGGCGGGGACATGGGCGGTTGGCCGGCCTGCCTGTGGGTCGAACTCCTGGTCAAGGGGACAGTTTGCATATTGGCCTTTTATTCTATAGGATGTACACTGAGTGGCCAGATTATTATGCGTTCAGAGGTGATTGTCCTCCAGCCCCTCGGTGTATGTTCCCCCGGTTCTGCGGGCCCGGAGACCGAAACCAAGGCGCCAGCCAGGTGGCTTCAGCACAGCGGCCGGCTCCCAGGGAGACTCGGCTCCATCCTCAGAGGGCGAAGGGAGAGCGGCACCCGGGAACGCAGGTTGGCCCCCCGGCTTAGAGGGTCCGCCCCTGGTGACCGCCAGGATTGCGCCCACACAGGCCCTGGCCGGTGTGCTCAGTGGGGAGAGTGTTGCCTGCACCCCGAAGAGTCATGGTTTCGATTCCCGGTCAAGGTTGCAGGTTCCATCCCCGGCCTTGCTCAGGGTGCCTGCGGGAGGCAACCAATCTATGTGTCTCTCTCACAGTGGTGTTTCTCTCTCTCTCCCTCTCCGTCCCTCCGTCCCTTCCACTCGCTGTAAAAATCAATGGAAAGGATTACCCTTGGTGAGGATTAACAAAAAGAAAAAGAAGGAAAAAAAAAAAAAAAAGTCCGCGCAGGCAGAGCGTTTGGGAAGTGCCTGGATCTCGCCCGTGGTCGCCCTGAAGGGAGGGAGCCCTCCCACCGAGCGGGGAAGGCGCCCATGGCAGCCCCACGCCCACCTCAGAGCAGAAGGCACGTCTGCCTGCCCCTGCCGCCTCCCAGCTGCACCCGGGGTGGCCCCCGGAGACCGATTTTTGGCCCACGTGTCCCCTGGGCCTTCCAGAGAAGGGGGTGCTGAGGGGAGGGCGCCTGGATCTACTCCGGGGCCGAGGTCCGTAAGGCAGACCTGCCGGGCCGGACGGGGTCGGCCCAGAAGGAACCACAGAAAACGGGCTCCAGGCCCCGCAGGCCAGCAGGGTCCTCGGAACTCCCCGCGTGCGTCTTCCTCGCTGAGCTCGACAAGGACACGTACCCGGGGCACACACTTCGCATGGCTGTTTGTGGAGCATCACCCTCGGACCTAAAGGGACAGTCATAGCCTAGAGCCTGATCTCAAACTCCCCACCCACTGCTCCTCCCCACGTAAATCCCCGGAGGCCAGGGCTGGGCCTGGCTCTCCGGGCTGGGCTCTGCCAGGAGGGTGGGTGGGGAGCTGGTCCGGGTGGCATGCTCCAGAGGGCGGGCCACGGGCGGGCACCCCCTGGGGCCTGGGCACGGCGGTTCCCTGGGGCTCCTTCTCCAGCGTGAGGCTGAGAGGACAGGACCTGCCCCCGTGTGTCCCAGAAACCAGAGGCCTGGGGGCGGGGGGGGGCGGGGGGGGGGACGAGTGCTGCCACAGGGGCCTCCTCCTGCGAAGATGGAAATGGCTCCTGGCCCCAGTCAGATCCCCCAGGCCGGTGCCCGTCCCTCCGTCCTTCCGGTCTCTTCCCAGCACCGGAGGAGGGTGGCTTCCGGCGTCGGCTGGCCTGGACGTCCACTCCCACACAGACTGGGCTTGCAGAGGCAGTGTCAGACTGAGGAAGGTGTGGGCGCCTCCCTGGGACCACAGTGCACCCTTTCCACTGGAGCCGGGGGCCTTCCAAATAACATCTCCCGTCCACACACACCCTGGGAGACGATGTCACAGGCCTGCTGCCGCTGACACAAGAAAAGGAATAAGCCGGGTTTCCCCAGCTGGCGGGCTCAGGAGCTGAGCGTGGACCCCTGAACCAGGAGGTCACTGTTTGCTTCCCTGGATTTCAGACTCTATCCCCAGTAGGGGGGGTGCAGGAGGCAGCCGATGGATGTTGATCTCTCATTGATGTTTCTCTCTCTCTCTCTCTCTTCTCCCTTCCTCTGAAATCAATAAAAAAACAAACAAACAAACAAACAAAAAACCCACACATTTAAAGCCCTGGCTGGTTTGGCTCAGTGGATAGAGCATCAGCCTGTGGACTGAAAGGTCCCAGGTTCGATTCCGGGGAAGGCTCAGTCCCCAGTGGGGAGCGTGCAGGAGGCAGCCAATCCATGATTCTCTCTCATCATTCTCTCTCCCTCTCCCTTTCTCTCTGAAATCAATAAAAATATATATTTAAAAATATATATATTTTAAAAAAGAAGGAAAGAAACCAGTTTTCTCTCACACTCAGGTTTTGTGCGCTTTGTAATGCTCGGCAGGGTCCCTCCGAGGCACAGCTGGCTGTGGGGGGAAGCTGAGGGAAGTGGTCTGGGCGGGAGCCATCACGGTTCTCTCTGAGAGGGCGAGGGAAGCAGGTGCCGCACACGGGCCCGGAGCCCATGGTGCCGGCCCAGCGCCCCCTCCGAGGAGGCTGCAGTCAGTCTGGAGGCACAGGGCCCCAGCCCCTCGGGCGCTGGGAGAGCGGAGGAGGCACGGGAGCCGCAGGCCCCTGGGGGCCAGGAGCACAGCCGCCCACCCAGGCCGGCCCGCCCGGCCCTGAACCGGGGGCGGAGCGGACAGCCTGGGAACCGGTCTGCCAACCAGTCTGACCAGGGACTGGTTTCGACGCCGGAGTTCAAAGGAGCTGGGTGCACCCCGTCCTTCTCAGCCAGCGAACAGCGCCCCTTAACCCTTTCCCGGCTGTGCCCGGGGCAAGGTCCGGGCTTTGTTGTGGCCGGAAGGGGGTCTGGAGCTCCCGGGGCGGGAACGGGCGGGGGTGGCACTGGCTGCGGGTGGTGCGTGGGGAGACTGAGGAGGGAGGCCGCCCTCGGCCCCCGCCCCGGCTCCCCCGGGATTTCCTCCTCCGGGCGGGGGCGAGGCGGTCCCGGGAGGACCCTGGGTGGGTGCTGGGGCCCCGGGGATTGGGTTTCCGGGGTCATGAATATTCATCAGGCCGAGCAGGCCTCTGCTTCTGTTTACTTAGCCGGGAGGGGCTGGGTTTCAGGTTCACCTTGACTCCTGGAGGCGCCGTGAGCAGGTACCCCGCTCCTGCACCTGTTTCTCTGGCACCTGCCGCCCAGCTGCTCCCACCGGCTCCCGGGCCGGGCCGAGCCGAGCCGAGCCAGCCGGGCGCAGCACCCTGGGGCTGCCCCGGCTCCCCCGGGCTCCCCTCCGGGCAGCGCCTGCACACGGCCCCTTCTCTAGGGAGGGGCTCGGCTCCGCCTGCGCAGCCGGGATTGCAGGTACCGGCCAGGGTGGGCGGCGGGCACCACGGGGTAGTCTGGGCCCGGTCTGCCTCCGGGGCTGGCAAGTCCAGCTGCAGGGGAGACCCTGGCATGCGGCTCCCACCTCCTCCCGGGCGAGCAGGCAGAACTCGGGGCTCGTCCGTCCCCTGGCTTCCTGGAGTCCGGCCGGAACGCCTGGTGGGAGCGAGAGTCTCTCTCCGGAGTAGCTCCCTGTTAAACTCCTGTGGGGCTGGAGCTAGAGCCCACCAGCGCCTGCCCCCCGCCCGGAGGGTATTTCTGGGTGTCTGGCGGGAACCGCCTCCTGCTCCTGTCTAGGGTACCCCAGACTCATCCAGAGCGACAGGTCCCCCGGGGCCCCCCGGAAAGCGGAGGGCTGGGGCTCAGGGTTTTGTCTAATAACGCAGAAGCCGAGGTGCTCCCCCCAGCCCCCTGCATCCCTCCTCCTTGTCCCGTCAATGGTTAACTGGGCTCAGCTGAGAAGGGGCTCTGCCTCAGCTGGGGCAGTGGGACCTGTCCCGGTCCCTGTCTGCTGGGAGCAGTGCTGGCTGTCACAGGCCCGGGGGGTGGGCTGTCCCGGGAGGTCCCCTTGAGGCCGTGCTCCCGAGCTGTGCACACAGCGTAGGTGTAGCGGCCTCCTCAGGGGCAGATTTCTATCGCCTCCAGGATTGCAGGGCCCCAGGGCAAGGGCCAGCCCTCCGCTTGCTTGGCCACGAACAGACTGCAGGCCGAGTTCACAATCCCAGTTCATTCCCCGCCCGAGGCCCCCTGCAACCCTCTGTGGTGAGGCCTGGGCGTGTGGCTGTAGGTATCCTGCTCTTGGCTGCTTTGAGTAGCTGGGACGTGGGGATAACACCTTCTCTTTTTTTTTTTTTTTCTAAGCAAGTCACATTTACCCTCTCTTGGGGTAGCTCCCTGTTTACCAGAATCTTCTAGCTAGCTGGGTTATTCTGCAAAAGCAAAGACCCAAGTTAGCTGTTCTGCAAATTCAGACTTCCATAGGCCAGGCTTGCTTCAAGGGGCAAACACCTGCTCACTTGTGCCCGCGTGCCCTAAGCAGGGGGGCAGCACGGCCTGGCACACAGTCTCCCAGAGAGCCCGGGGTGCAAGCCAGGAGGCCGGGCCCCGAGGTGCCGTGGTGGAGGCTGCAGGGCAGGGTCCAAGGGCCATTCCCGACTGGTTTTCTGAGCAGGTCCCTGGGATGGTCCCTCCCTGTGGACTGAACACCCGTTACAGCAGGTGTATTTTATTTAACTGGCACGTAAAAGAGCCACTTTCTCCAGGGCCGGCGGTCTGGTTATGACTGTGGGTTCGGGAGTCGGACCCTCCAGGGCCCGAGCTCCTTGGCAGCCCTGGTGGGGCCATGCGACTTGCCCCAGACCAGGCGGCGACTCGGGCACCCACAGGCCGAACAAGGGAGCGAGCGTCCTGTCCCTCCTTCCCTGCCCTCCTCACAGCACCTTCCACACACCATCCCGGAACTCCGAGATCTGTGCAAGGCTGTGCTCGGCCCAGGTGAGGCACGCTGCCAAAGCAAACCTCCGCCGTCCCCTGGGTGCCCTCGCCTCTCCAGGGTGCCCGGAAAGGGCTTATCTGGCCACTCTCGCCCCTCCCTCACCTCCTGAGTGGGAGCGGACAAGGTCCCCTCGGGGTCTCTTGCTGCAGGAGGGACAGGGCTGGCCACGTGGGGTCTGCGTTCTGGACAAAGCCGTGGGAGGAATTGGGGGCATGCTCTGGGCAGGGGATGGGCATGAGGGTGGGGCCAGGGGACAGCAGCGAGGGGGCCGATGGAGGCACTCAACTCACTCCCCACCCAGGCCAGCATCCTGCCTTCGTTTTTTTTCTGGATTTGATGTGTTCCTCCTCCAACAGAACAGACTCCATACTCACTGCGGCAGGTTGGAAATGAGAAAAGTGGAGGGGAGAGAGCATCCCACGTTCCTTCTACACAAAGGAAACCACTACTAGTCATTTGTGGTATTTCTTTCTGGTCTTTTTAGAAAAGGTAGTTAAGACGATCAGTTTTTATTTTTTTAAATATATTTCTATTGATTTCAGAGATGAAATGAGGGAGGGAGAGAGGAGGAGAGAGAGAGAGAGAGAGAGAGAGAGAGAGAGAATCATTGATTGGCTGCCTCCTGCACACCCCATACTAGGGATCAGTTTTTATTTTTTTAAATATATTTCTATTGATTTCAAAGATGAAATGAGGGAGGGAGAGAGGAGGAGAGAGAGAGAGAGAGAGAGAATCATTGATTGGCTGCCTCCTGCACACCCCATACTAGGGATCAGTTTTTATTTTTTTAAATATATTTCTATTGATTTCAAAGATGAAATGAGGGAGGGAGAGAGGAGGAGAGAGAGAGAGAGAGAGAGAATCATTGATTGGCTGCCTCCTGCATACCCCATACTAGGGATCAGCATGTCCTCAGGTGAGGATTACAAATAATAATATGCCCTGACTGGGCATCGAATTGAAGCTCAACCACTGAGTCACGCCAGCCAGGCAAGACCAACTGTTTTTATTTTTATTATAATATTATTATTTCTTTAAATATATTTTATTGATTTTTTACAGAGAGGAAGGGAGAGAAATAGAGTTAGAAACATCGATGAGCAAGAGTCATCGATCAGCTGCCTCTTTCTTGCACACCCCCTACTGGGGATGTGCCCTCAACCAAGGTACATGCCCTTGACCGGAATCGAACCCAGGACCCTTCAGTCCGCAGGCCGATGCTCTATCCACTGAGCCACGCCGGCCAGGCAAGACCAACCGTTTTTAGAAAGAGGTGACACAGTGGCCTGTGCCTGGGCTGGCTGACCGTCAGCTTTCTGGGGTGTGATGGCTGCTGCCCCTCCTCCCAGGACCTTTCCCAGCCACACTGAGAGTCCCAAGGCCGGACTACCAGCCTCTCCCGAAACAGAGATGCCCTGACCACTCCCCCCTCTGCCTGCTCTTTCTCTGCTCTCAGCCCCCCTGGTCGGCATGCCCACCTGTCAGGGATGTCCGGGCGACTTTACCTCCCAAAATCTCCACGGGCTCTGATGACCTCGTGACGAATGGTAAATGGTGAGGGCTCCTCCCAGGCACATCACTTGTCAGCGGAGAAGCCTGAACTTGAGCCCGCACCGCCCATCTCCTGGGTTTCCTATGGAGAGTCCAACCCATGATGCCGTATGTCACATGGACCCCGCCAAACCTCCTTCCAGATTTTCAGCTCCCTTCAAACTCCTGTCCTTGTGGAAGCTGGGTGGGGAAAGGGTCCGTCCCTCAATCATTATCACCATTATCGTAAGCAGTATTTTGCAAAGCGTGTATCTCTGTGGGCGGGCATCGACATCAGAGCTGAGAGGGACGGATGAGGCACCGAGGCCCAGAGAAGTAGCCTGCCAGGGGTCACACACCTGGAACAGTCCCGGGACTCCCCACTCCCAGCCTGAGGCTCCTCTCCCTGCTCCTCACCAGCGGGAAGTCCAAATTCCTCCCAACATCACATGTCCTATTTAAATGGGAATAAATGGATTTATTAATGAATGAATTCCGAGCAAGATGCCCAGGGTGTTTCTGTCTGTCTGATACCAGTTGACCATCTGCCCGAAGGGTGTCCAAGGCCTGGATGGTGCGTGACTTGGGCGAGCTGTTCACCTTCCCGCAGCCCCAAGGGGCCGGGCAGCTTGCTGCTGCCTGGCGATGGCGTGCGTCTCCCTGCTGTCACCTCCACTGGGCTCAGAGGGCTTTCTGTTCAGCTCTTCCCCAGACCCTCTCTCTGCTCTCCACATGCATTGAGTCCCCGACCTGAATCTGAGGGTCACGTGGCCCCACCTCTCAGCCTTTAGGCCCGGGCCACTGAGTGGCTGAGTGGCTGTGGGGTTGAGCATTGCCCATTCAGTTCCCGATCAGGAGGTCAGGAGGTCAGGAGGTCAGGACGAAGATCTGGGCTTCGTGTTCGATCCCTGGTTGAGACACATATGAAAGGCAACTGATCAAAGTTTCTCCCTCTCTCTCTCTCTCTCTCTCTCTCTCTCTCTCTCTCTTCCTCTCTCTCCTCCCTCTCAGCATGTCCTCAGGTGAGGATTACAAATAATAATAGGCCTAACGGGTTTAGCTCAGTGGATAGAAGTGGATAGAGCATCAGCCCACAGACTAAAGGGTCCTGGGTTCTATTTTGGTCAAGGGCGCATACATTTTTAAAAATATATTTTTTATTGGTTTTTTACAGGGAGGAATGGAGAGAGATAGTTAGAAATATCGATCAGATGCCTCCTGCACACACACACACACACACACACACACACACACACACCCGCCCCGGAATGTGCTCACAGCCAAGGTACATGCCCTTGACTGGAATTGAACCTGGGACCCGTGAGTCCGCAGGGTGATGCTCTATCCACTGAGCCAAACTGCTTTCGGCAGGGGCACATACACTGATTGCAGACTCATTCCTGGTCGGGGCATGTGAGGGAGGCGACTAATTGATGTTTCTCTCTCTTCCCCTCCGTTCCACTCTTTCTAAATATCAACAGAAAAAGATCCTTGGATGAGGATGAACAATAACAAAAATAAATAAAGAATAAAATAAATAAAATGTGGTCAGGAGTCTAGAGAGGGCTAGCCTCCTGACCACCACCCACGTCTCCCCCCCCTTCCCCCCCCCCGCCCCCCCCCGCAGGAGCCCGCTCTGCCCGGCAGCACCATGACGGAAGTGGGCTGGTGGAAGCTGACCTTCCTCCGGAAGAAGAAGTCCGCCCCCAAGGTGCTGTACGAGATCCCGGACACCTGTGCCCAGACGGAGGGCAGCGCGGAGCCCCCGGGGCCGGCGGGCGGGGCGGCCGGCAGTGACTTTAACAGCCGCCTGGAGAAGATCGTGGACAAGAACACGAAGGGGAAGCACGTCAAGGTCTCCAATTCCGGCCGCTTCAAGGAGAAGAAGAAAGTGCGAGCCAGCCTGGCGGAGAACCCCAACCTCTTCGATGACAGGGAGGGCGAGGGACAGTGAAGGGGGCCGAGGCGGGTGCCGGCATCTCCCTGCCTGCCGGCTCCCTGCCGTCAGCTGGATCTGAGCAGGGAGCTGGCCACAGCCGAAGCCCTGGGGGCGGCGCATGCCTGCTGGCAGGAGATGTCTCCTTTTAGGTTCGTATTTATGTGCCCTGGCTTTCCGGGGCGTCTGGAAGATACCGGGGTCCTCCCACCGCCCCCCACCACATAGAAAGGCACTCGGGTTCAGGGGTGACAAGTGCCACCCAGGGCACGGGGTCAAGGGTGAGTTTGACTTGCTGCTCCCTCTAACGGTCTCTACCCGTGCCGGTTCCCTGCACCAGCCCTGAGAGTGCCTTTTCCAGACGACACGTGATGGGGGGTCGTTTCCAGGAGCCAGAGGCGGGCTGACCTGGAGCTCACCTCCTAACACAAGTGATAAACTTCTGGGGGCCTTGTTCCCAGATGTGCAAAGGGAGGGGGACCCTGGCACTCCCTGGAGGTGCTGCAGAAGGCCCGGTTAGGGGCCCCCAGGTCCAAGTTAGTGGTGGGGAAGCTCTGGTAGGACCTAACAGCAGCCAGCTCTTCCCACCGGTATTTAAGATGGACCGGCCCAGAGATGAGTCCTGGAGCCTTGGATTTTGTTTAATAACCGTAGGTTTCTCTCTTTGTAATAAACAACGCTGCCAAAGCTGAGAATCTATCTGCTCGCCTTCCATCGCTGAGAGGGCTGTGCTGTAGGCCTTTGTTTCCCTTCACGTGAGTGGAACCCGGTGCTCAGATGGTTCCTCTCACGCTTCACACGGTCCCAGGTGTCAGATGTAGGGACTGGGACACCAGTTTCACCCTCAAGCCACCCTTAGCACTGGGGGGGGGGGGGGGGGGAGGATACAGGAAGGAGCTTGTGGCACTCCCGTGGTCAGTCCCTCTGGTCCACAGAGGCCAGCGGGGGCTGCAAGAGAAGGAGGCAGACCCCTGTGGTCTGACCCAAAGTTGCAGTGGTTTGGTTTGGGGTCAAGACTCAAATTCGGGTCCCACCCCTTAGCAGCTGTGTGGTGTGGGGGACATTAAAAAAAACCACACGCACAGAAACAACTTCCTCTGAAGCCTGATGGGTAGCTCAGTTGATTAGAGCATCGTCCCAATACCAGTCATCGTTCCATCCCAGTCAGGGCACATAGAGTGGATGCATAAGTAAGTGGAACAACAAATCAATGTTTCTCTCTAAAAATCAACCAATAAAAAAAAATTTTTTTAAACCTACCTCCTCTGAGCCTGGTTTCTTTTCTATACAAGGCCTGTAAGGATTCCTATTTCACAGGGAGTGGTCGGTAACTAGTGGCCCGTTAGTAGTCCTGTAGAAGGTTCCCCATTAACTGGTCCCCTCCCGGCCTTTTCCCTTATTAAGGAACTCGCCACGGCCCAGAGCTTCCGTTTAAGGAAGAGGAGAGAGCGTGCTCTTGAGGCTGTTAGATCAGGATCTTTCTCAAGCCGCAGGAGCTGGGAACTGGAAAAAATTGGCCATATCTCCAGAGCTCGCGGTGGGAACATGGAGAGAGAGAGACCAAGGTGGCGACTCAACAATGTGGTCCAGCAGCTTCCAGGCCAGCTCCTTGCAGGCTGCGGGCCACCCCACCCCACCCCACCACGGAGCGCTGCTCAGGAAATGTATCACCAAAACAAACAGACCAGACAAGGGGGCCTTTGTTGTGCGGCCTCCCCCAGGGCATGGGGAGCTGAGGATGAGTGAGGGAGATCAGGAGTTTGGGGAGGACTGGAGGACTCTTCCCCATCCCTCCTCATGGCAGAACTTTCTAAGGCCCCCATAACTCGGTCCATAAAGCCTCCCATGGGGAAGCAGACTTTTCGCCATCCTTCCCATTGTTAATGCCTGACGTTTACAGGTTTAAAAAGGGCCAGGCCCACACTGGCTGGGTGGCTAAGTTGATTGGACTGTTGTCTTGTACATCAAAAAGGTTTCGAGTTTGATTCCTAATCCAGGGCATGTAGCCCAGTTGTGGGTCTGATCCCCAGCCGTTGTCAGGGCGCGTATGGGAGGTGACCAGTGGATATGTCTCATCCATAGATGTTTCTCTCTCTCTCCTCTCTGCCCTCCTTCTACCCTGTCTGGAAATCAATGGAAAAAATCCTTGGGTGAGGATCAAAAAAACAAAGAAACATCCTTGGATGAGGATTCGAATGGGACAGGCTCTGTGGCAAGTACTCCCCGAGGTTCCTCATTGAATCCTCTGGTCCCCCATGGAGACAGGGCCTGCTGCTAACTACCCCTTTTCCAGGTGAGGTGCTGGGCTTAGTCACTCACCGGAGATCATGCCCTCTCAGAGGTGAGGCTGGGCTGAAGCCAGAGCTGGGCTGCGCATGTGACCTCAGAAACACACAGCCCCTTCCCTTCTTGATTTGCATCTGCTTAGGGGGTGGGAAGCTCCGGACAAAAAAAGGAACCGGTCCTCTTCTGCTGCAGGAGGGTGGGGTGAGAGAGCAAGGCCTGGCCTCGGGATCCTGGGAGGTGAGCAGCATTTGAGGGTGCTGCAGACTCTGGGACCAACGGGGGAAAGCCAATCAGCGATGAGGCTGAGTGTACCGCGAGACCCCAGACTGTAGGGACCTCCCACTCCAGCCCATCCTGAGGCGAGGGTAGGGGGATGAAGCTGGGCCCTGGGCCCCGTGCATATGACCATGCTCCACGGGCCCAAATGTGACTGCAGGAATCTTCCCGGAAACTCCATCCGTACCCCTAACCTGGGTATTAGTGGACGGGGGTGAGGAGGTGGGTGGTTACCAATGGCCAAAGGGATATCTGGTGCCCAGGGAGCCAGAGCCCAGCAGCTGAAGGTTTTACCAGGCCAGAGGAGGAGGAACCGAAAGTGCAGATATGTGCAGGAGCCGGGAGAGGCTACGGGTCATCGACCACAGTTTCACTGGGACTCAACCCAAGGGGGGAGGGGGCGGCAGGCGGGGCAGGCTAGGATTGGCCTGTGCGGCGCGAAGGGGCCAACCGTGGGCAGTGGCGCCCCCTGCTGGATGCCCCACCTCCCGGGAGAGGAAAATGGAGGTGGGTGGAGAGTTGTTTAATCCCCCAACTCCCTTTCTTCCCAGGGTGGGGGGCAAGACCAGACCAGACCGACATTAGCATCACGCACTGATGAGCATCTGATGGGTTTTTATTACAGATCTGGCACAGTGATTGCCAGACACAGAACAGAACTGCTGAGACCAGGCTCAAAGCCGGGGAGACGGATCCAGAAACACAAACAGGACAAGGAAGGGTCCCCAGCACCCTCTCCTGTAGGTTCCAGAAAGGTCAGCATCGTGCTTTCCTGCGCTCGGGCTTGAGGGGGATCAACAAGGAGAGAGAGGTCCTCGGGGGAGCCGGTCACTCCCAGACGCTGAAGCACATGCCCATACAGCGAGTGAAGCCGTGTACAGAGTGGCAGGTTCAATGCCACTGTGCACAAAACAGTCCCTCCCTCATCCTGGCTGAGTCAGAGCAAACATTTACCCAGCCTGGCTCCTCTCCAGGCCCGAGGGCCACTCAGCCAGGCTGACCCTGTCACCAGACTGTGCTCCAGGAAAGCACCTACAGTCAGCACAGGCCTCAGCGAGGGTTACGGGAGACAGGCAGAGGGTCAGAGGCCGGGGCCAGGGCACTGGCACAGGGGTGGGTGGGTCCTGTTAAACGCGGGAGGGAATTCCGGGGGTCTGGGGTGGGCTTCCGAGTGATGCCAATGCTGCCAGCCGTCCTGAGGGGCTCAGACCTTGGCTTCACGAAGTCCCTGGGAGCCTTTAAATTTCCCAGTGCCCTCAGACCCGTTAAGTCATCTCTGAGGGGGGGACCTGGGCATCAACAGGATCCCCCCCACTCTGCCCCTTGGGAATGCCAATGTGGATGAAAAGCAGCGATGTGGAGAGGTGAGGAGCTGGGAAGGGGATGTGTGAGTATCTCTATAATTTCATACCTGGGAAGTAAAATAAGTAAATACCGTTTATAAGCCAACGTGGAAAATAAAGCTTGATTAAAATCTTCCTGGCCCGTAGGTACCAGCACACAAAAACTGGTTTGGCTCAATGGATAGAGTGTCGGCTTGGGGACTGAAAGGTCCCGGGTTCGATTCCGGTCAAGGGCATGTACCTTGGTTACTGGCATATCCCCAGTAGGGGGTGTGCAGGAGACAGCTGGTCGATGCTTCTCTCATCGACGTCCCTAGCTCTCTATCTCTCTCCCTTCCTCTCTGTGAAATATCAATAAAATATATTTAAACAAAAAAAAAAAACTCCTGACCGGGACTGAATACTTCCCATAAGAGAATGCTCACTGCCTGGTGCTCCTTACCACCTTCCCCTTGAAACCGCTCCCCATATTGAAGAGAAATCTATTTCTGTGTAATATCCCCCGTGGGTCCTTTGGAGCTACAGAGAATAAATTCAATCTTCTCCCACAACGCTGTGCTTCGATAATGGAAGGCAGCTAGCAGCAGGGTAAATGCTATAAGAATATGTTAATAAACGAGTTGGTTAGGGTTCTTTTATTTGCAATCAACAGCAAACAGCAAGTTTACATTAAAAAAAAAAAACCTTTTTAGAGACGGTGGGTGTGAGGCCGGAGGAGGAACTGCAGGGCTCAGGAGTGGGAAGGGGGCGCCAGGCCACTGGGGGAATTTAAGAGCAGCAGCCAGAGGCCTGGCTTCTTGGCTGCCGCTCACAGTGCGGCCTCGGGGAGCATGCTCTGGGTCTCTCCGTGCCCAGTTTCCAGTAGCTGACAAGAAAAACCGACTATCGGGACTGGCTCAGGTGCTTATGCTGGGACCGATCAGCTTTGGCCAGTATGACTGTCACAGTGGTCAAACACAGGGCTGCTGGGGCCGGCTCTGTGTCACTGGGAAAGGGAATTCCAGCAGCTGCTTCCTCCAGAGGGAGCCATTCCAGTAAACCAGTGTCAAAACCGAGAAAATGACGATGAGATGATTGTCCGTGTGTGACTCTCTGTGCCGCCATGACACTCCGCTAGAGAGCTTCTGGGAGCCAGCCAAGTGGAGCACTCAGGTGGCTCTGGAGACCCCGACATACAGGGAGCGGGGCGGGAAACCGCGGCCCTTAGAAGGGCCTGACCCCAACCCCACAGCCTCCCTCAGCGCCGGCCCTCGCTCCCGGGCGCCCAGCCTGGGGTCAGGGAGCGAGCCTCTCGTAGAGCCAGCCTTCCGCCCCTTGGTGCGTCATGGGCCCCAACGGGGTGTCCCCCGTCTGCAGGCTCCGCCGGAAGACGATGCGGTCGTGCAGGCGGTTGGTCTGGCCTTGCCAGAATTCCATCACCTGTGGGTACAGCACGTAGCCACCCCTGCGAAGGGAAGCAGAGGTCTCGGGCTGTGTATTTTCCCAACCACGTCACTCCCCGGACACCCTCGGGCCGCCTGAAGGAAGCCGCTGTATCACGGGTAGGAGTTACAGTAAACACGAGGGTCCTGGTGTCCCTTTCCACACGACCAGGAGGCATCACTCACCAGTATTTTGGCTTCGGCACCTCTTGCTCCTGGTACAGCTTCTCCAATTCCTCGTTTTTCTTTCTCAGATACTGTTCAGGGGAAGGAGACAGAAGGGCCAGACCGGGTCAAGGATTCATTGAATAACCACTCACTGAGCATGTGCTGGGGACACAGGCGAGAAGGCACAGGTGGCCTCTGTCCCCTGGGACACAGCCCAGCGGGAGGGTCCCCCACACACAGGAGGCCATCGGCCCATTCCCCCAGGAAGACACCCTTTTCCCTGGCTGGGGAGAGGGCCCCGCACCCCTGGGAGACGGCCTCGGGATGAGCCCAGCACCGCCCCCGGAGGACGAAGAGGAAGCCCACTCACCTCCCGGTCAGGGACGACGGAGCTCTGCTGACTGACCACGGCCCCGATCTGGCTGCTCTTGGGGCGGGAGTGGAAGTAGCTGGTGGCCTCCTCCTCCGGCAGCTTCTTCACAGGGCCCTCCACACGCACCTGCTCAGGGACGGCCTTGGCTACCTGGGTCCAACGCCATCGCCCTCCCCAGGCCACAGGCCCATCCCCCTCGGTCTTCTCTATCCGATGCCTCGCCACTCCTGGCTCCCGCCAGCCCGGCTAACTGTCTGAGAGCTATCTGAGAGGAAGGACGTTTGCCCGGCCTGGCACCTCCACTGGGCTCATATATAAACTCGGGCCCCTCCCAACGCAGCCCGCCCCCGGCTGTCCTGGGCACGCTCACTCACCTGGCGGTTCAGGGGCTCCCAGTAGAAGACGAGGGAGGCAAAGGGATTAGAGTCCTGGAGAGGAAAGAGAACCCAGACCGCCGTCAGGACAGCGGGGAGGACGCCTCTGGCCGGCAGGGGGAGGCAGAAGTCTGCAGCCTGCAGGCCCCCGGGAGGTGCACTCGGTGTAATATCTCATTTAAACCCTCAAAGACAGGCTCAGAGAGGTTAAGTAAGGAGCCCGAGCTCACACAGCAAGTGGCAGAGCTGCGTGGAAACCTACGCCAGCTGGACTCCGAAGTGCCGCTTGCCATTTCTCAAACCCACAGATTTTGCAAGTTCTCAGAAATGTATGCTTGGCTGCAGGGACTCGGGGCGGATGGCTCATTTGGAATTACGAACTGTATGCATATGAAGTGCCAGCTCTGGATTCGACACCAGAAGAGGTCACGGGGTGTAACAGAGTTACAACAGATGCAGCCGCTGCCCCCACAAAGCTTACCACTTCACAGAGGACACAGACATTAATCGCATAATCATATGCATGCACAGTTAGAAACTGAAAAAAATGGCAGGGAAGTTGCTAGTTATAATGACAGCAAACGGCATGAGCGGCTGACTCAGTGTAGGAGTGGAGGCTTTTTGGAAGAGGCTGCCATTGGGGCTGAGCCTGAAGGGACGGGGTGGCTTAGGTGGACAGAGGACAGAGGCAGGGGTGGTGGGAGAGGATTTGCGCATGTGCAGCAAGAAAGACCAGGGCGAAGGCCCCAGGCAGGGTGGGCCTTGAGCACAGACAGCGAGCGGGTTGGGGGGGGGTGACTGATGAGGAAAGGGCTGTGCCCTCTGCAGCGCGAGGAGGATTTACCGTGACCCCTCACCAGCTCTTTTCCTTTCCGGCTCTCAAAGTTAGTGAAGAAGCGGAAGCCATCCTTGCCATAGCCCTTCAGCAGCACCATGCGGGCAGAGGGCTTCCCATCTCTGGGACAGAGAGCAGAGCGCCGTGGTCAGAGCCCACTCCCATGTTCCCTTAGGATGTCTGAGCATCCCTACCGCTGGGTCCCCTTATTCTGCCCTGTCCGGGCCGCAGGCCACCACCCATCCCCACTCGGCCCTGGGGATTTAGCCTGAAAACACCCCCCGCTCCCCCCAGTATGACAGATGCCTTCCCCCTGCTGCTGGAGGCGTCCTCCCCCGTCCTGACGGCGGTCTGTGGCTTCTTTCATCTCCAGGACTGTGAGGGACTAAGCCGCGTCCCCCTAAAAGCCTATGCTGATGGCCTTGCCCCCAATGTGGGTATTTGGAGACAGGGACTTCCGGGAGGGGAGTAAGGGTCAATAAGGTCATAGGGTGGGGCTCTGATCCAAAAGGACGGTGTCCTTAGAAGAGGAACAAGCACCAATGATCTCACTCGCTCTCCCTGCGTGCACCAAGGAAAGGCGGTGTGAGGACACCGCAAAAAGGCGGCCACCTGCAAGCCATGAGGAGAGGCTTTCCTAACCAGCTAACAGAACCTTAATCTTGGACTTCTGGTTTCCAGCACTGTGAGAAATACATTTCTGTTGTCTGTGTATTTTCTTATGGCAGCCCTAGCAAAGCAGCAAGGCTCCAAGGGCAGCAACCAACGAGAATGCAACCAGCCCTAGCTGGTTTGGCTCAGTGGATAGAGCGTGGGCTTTCAGACTGAAGGGTCCCCGTTTCGATTCCTGTCAAGGGCACATGCCCGGGTTGTGGGCTCGATCCCCAGTAGTGGGCATGCAGGAGGCAGCCAATCAATGATTCTCTCTAATCATTGATGTTTCTATCTCTTTCTCCCTCTCCCTTCCTCTCTGAAATCAATAAAGAAATATATTAAAAAAGAAAAAAATGCAACCGGCTGGTGCTTAGGGATTACAGAAGGCGTGGCTATTATCAGACCCTCTGCTCAGGGTTTTGGGGGACACGCAGGGCACACAGCACAAGAGCCCTGCCTTCAAGGCCTTACATTTGAGTGACGGGGGACAGGAAGAGTTGGATTGGATGAGAGGCTAATATGAGAGATGGCTCAGTGGTTGACTACCAAGTGAGTGATACAGCTAAGCATTGTCTACAAAGAGATCCATGAAGAGGTCCCAGGAGACACAGCTCTTAAAGGGCAGCTGGGAATAGGGTAGGTGGGGAGATAAGGGAGGCAAGGGTATATGGGGGCATTGCATCAAGGGCAGAGATGAATGAGGCACTGCGTTTCATCCCTGAGATGTAACTGGGTGAAGTGTGATCTTTGGTTTACAGGTAAGGATGCTGAGGCGCAGAGAGGGCAAGTAACTTGCCTGAGGCCACACAGCATTTCAATAAAAGTGCTAGAACCATAAAGTTGTCATCCATTACACTGAGAGCTCCCTTGGGATCCTGCTTCCTCTGTGCCCGCCCACCGAAGGGCCCACGGCTATGCCCACCTGGTGCAGGTGGCCAGACACATGGCATTGGCCTCCCCTATGTCAGGACACTGAACGGCCTCCTCGAACCAGGCAGCAAACTGCTTCAGGGGATCCAGAGAGATCAGCTGAGCCTCCTCAAATGCCTGGAGAGGAGGGAGAGTTTTATTTCACTGAATGAACACACCTATTGCTTCATGTGTACGCGGAGCTATTCTAGGCACTTTTCAAATATTAACTTATTTACTCCTCGTGACGAAAAATAGTGCCCAGGAAGTAGGTTCTGTTAGCCCCCTATTACAGGTGGGGACACAGGCACAAGGAAGGAGACTGATGGCTGATGAATCGGCTTCATGTCATGAAGTGTCAAACCTATCATTTGAAAAGCCTTAAAAACAAAAACAAAAAAAACACAGATTCTGGACTCTGCCCTTGTAAATCCTCATTCCCAAGGTCTAAGGGTCAGTGGAAAACCGCATGTCTAACAACCGTTCTCTGGGCTCCTCTCCGGAGGAGGACGAAGGAAAGGACGTTTTCCCCAGGGGTAAGCGAGGGAACCAAGGCAGCAAGGAGCGTTCCCCCTCCTCCCCGGGAGGTAGTCAGTCCGCCTCCCCGAGTTCTGCTTACCCAGCACCGGGAGGCTGTGTCCCTGTTCTAACCATTTTACAAACATCTGAGTCCGCCACATTCCTGCGAGGTGGTGCTGTCACCTCACAGGGGCCCGGAGAGGTGCAGGGAACCGCCCCAGGGGTGCACCTCGTGAGTGAATGAATGAATGAATGAATGGCGGGATTCCGGGCCTGGCAGGCTCCAGCCGTGCCTCCCCCCTCCCCCCCCCTCAGCTGCCTCCGGTCCCCACCTTCGTCCCGGCTCCCCCAGAACCTATCCCCGACCCCCAACGGTTGTCTTTGAACCCTCTCCTCTCAGGGAGATGGCCTCAAGCCCCTGCGTCCCACGGGGTGGCCCCAGAAACCCCGTGGGGTTCCTCCCATGTCTCCCCCGCCCCCTCCCGGATGATCGGAGACCCCTCGCTCCCCGCCCCTGCGGAGACCCCTGCGGAGACCCCGCCCGGCGACGACACCTCGCGGTCCCCGCGGTAGCTCTTGCGCATCGGGCCCAGGTCCATGGCGATAGCGCGGCGGCACAGCTGACGCAGGTGGCGGGGCCACTCGGCCAGCCGCCTGAACGCCACGTCGACGCACGCGACGGGGCCGTTGGCCACGTGACCCAGCGTCGCCCGGCGGCGCCGGGTTCCGGCGCGTTCGGAACCGGTTCCTCAGTCCCGAGTCTACCCCGCGGGAAGAGGGTGTGTCAGTCGCCCAGCCCCGACACCCTCGGTCCTCGGAGCCAATGGGAGCCCAGCGT